CCTGCTCCAGCCCCTCAATGTCCCTCCTGAGCTGAGGGGCCCAGAGCTGAGCACAGGATTCAAGGTGTGACCTCACAGCATCGAGTCCAGGGGCAGAATCACCTCCCTGGTCCTGCTGACCACACTGGTCCTGATCCAGGCCAGGATGGTATCTCAATATACATGATGGTATACCAATAGTAATGCATCCTTGACACTTTATGTACATGCACATGTATATACACACAAAAAAAATAGAGACATCAGCCATATTGTGACACATCACAGAACAAAATTCTGGTAACTTGTAAACATTTAAGAATTTTTGATGGGATTCCCCAAATAGAAAGCAACCAGGCAGTGTTTATAACTTTGTGACACATTTCTAATCATCAGAGCTGCCTCACTCCGTTAAGACCTCAGGAAACACGACAGTGGCATCAGTGGACAAGGTTGGCTCCACCAATGGGCTGTAACAGAAGACACATTCAAACAGACCTGTGCCTGACATTTTCATTTCACAGGCAGAGGAAGTACCTCACGATCAATTTCCCATTTTGACAGAGATTATTTCCATATAAAACAAAGAATCTGACACATAAGGGATGGAAAAGACCAGCTAATTCATCTAGCCTGTCACCTTGCCAGCACTGCAGTAGCTATTACAGCCCTGAGCAAGCCTTTCAGAAAGGTCAGGAAGCTGCCAAGCCCAAAGTTACAGTATTCACATCCTCTTCTGTGGTTTTCAGACCAGACTTTGACAATGGGACAAAGAACATAATCCTACATCTTCACAAAGAGGCTGTTTGCAGTGGAGGAGAGCAGGGTAATTCCATTAGCAAAGAGATCAAAGAAATGCCACAAGGTCTGAGTCAGGGTATTGCTGCTTACTTTTCTATTTTTTTTTTCATGATGCATATTTAAAGAAAATAAATAAACTTTATTTTGGGACCTTACTCACAGCTGAGGGAATAATTGAGACACAGGGAAACTGCTCTTTTCCTTACAGAAAAACACTTTTCTTACCCAGCAAAAACTGGAGGAAAACAGAAAAAAAAATCCTGTATATCACAGTTTTGGTGATGATTGTTTTGGGGTTTTGGGTTTTTGTTCACAGAAGATCTGTGCAAACTTTCTTTAAATTTGCTACATCACCCCACACAGAGATCCTTTTATTCCTGTGCAAACTTTCTTCAAATTTGCTGCATCACCCCACACAGAGATCCTTTTATTTATGTATTTACTGCCTCATCAGTTCCATTTCCTACACTCCTGAGGGGGAAACATATCTGTCTATTAATCTAATGTACCATATTCTCCATTCATTTATGAGACAATAAAAATTACACAGCAAAAAACCCAGCACATCCAACATCAACATTTTTTCTCCCCATCTAAATTCAAGTAGCAAAAAGATTAAATTCAGGATTTAAATTTCTACTACAGACGATCCAAAAGATGAAAATTACAAGTACAAAACTCCTCTACCATTTCTCAGAATGAGCACACCAATGACACTTCCAAAGCATTAAGGGATATGAACTGATAAGTTTGTTATCATCAGCTCCTGCTGCAAAGATGTTTGGATCATTTATCCCCCAAAACCCACGTACCAGGAGCTGCTGAATGTGGATGTTTTTAAGTTCACAACTGTTTGATACTGAGCACCTCACTCTGCTCTCCCACAATAAAACCTACCAGCACCTCAGAGAAAAGAGCATGGAAGATGAATTATCTTCTGAGACCTCTATATGGCTCAACATCCTGAGAGAAAGGATGTGAGGGTCACCAGCAGAGTTCTGCCCATGTGTGTTACCTTGGAGGGACCACAGAGAGGGGAAAACTTCTCCTCCCAGAGATCCTTAACTCAAGTACAGGCACTGGGTAATAAATCTCCCTCCATGCAAAATATGTCTAATAATTCCACTCCACACTGCAAACAAAAAATCAAAGTTTATTCAGACACTTCCACACCAACAAGTGTCACGAGAAACTGGGACAGTTTTGGTCCAGTCAGATGGAAACACAACAAACCTAAATGCAAAAGGACAAGGTGTCAGTCCTTGTGCTCTTAGTGAGGCTCCAATTTATGCATCTTCTTCCCTAGGAGGATATTTTTATTTTGAAATATGATGATGCAAACTTTTAGGAATCTGGTTTTATGCACCTTCCTTTCTTTTTATGGACTTAATCCCATGAATAAATGCAACATCTCATTATAACCAGGAATAAAACTTCATTTTTAAGGATGTGGGAGCCAGTGCTCTCTACTTTTTTTTGTGCAGTTCAGATCTGTACAGAAGCTTAGAAAACCTGTACAACAATGGCCCTTGGTTCACAAATATAAGAAAAGCTTCCCTTTTTTTCCCAAGACACCAAGCAATGTGCCTTGCATGAAGCACTAAAATATTCACTTTGAAGATTATTTTTTTCAGTTAGACTAGTTGTGGGGCCCAATACAATACAATTACATCACTTAAATCCCCTAAAGCTGAGCCGGCTTGAATATAAAAATAGGGTGAATTTACTCTTTGGCCCCAATTTAAAAAGCAGCAAATTCCTTTTGTTTCAGTGTATAAAGGATATGGCAATGGAATGAGCAATCTTACACAGCACAAACCATCTCAGGGAAAGTTGACTATGAAGTCCAGAATTGCAATTTCAGAAAGCAGCACTCTGAAGTGCACTGATAAATGGGAAATATAAACATCTGACATACTTCCTCTTCATGCTTAATCATAAATATTTGCCTTGCTCTGTAAAATGTCTTCCAAGAGGTAACAACTCAACACAGAGAGACATTATAGCATTGCAAGTCATGGTAACAAAACATGGGACAATCCAGGGATTTACAGGAGAGGTTAAATAAACTCAGAATATCCCAACAAATGTTGGCTGAACCAACATGTTACTTGCAGGGTTCCCACCATTCCCTGTAAAAAGGGCTCACCAGCAGCACACAAGAGCAGGAGATGCATCTGTCTGGGTCTCAAGCCCTTCAGCAATGAAAACATTTCAGACATGAAGTGTAAGCACACACACGTGTACAGAATGTGCACGTCCACGAGCTGTGTGGACAGCGAGTTCCACATCCCATGAGCAAATCCACACCCAAGTTCCCTGTGCTTAGCTAAGAGAGCTCTTCAGTGACAGGAAAAACAATAACAGACTGTGAAATGCCTGATGTTTTCTTATAAATTCATACCAGGCTTTAATTCATGAATATGCAAATTCCTTGCCAGGTTTTCTTTGCTGACTGTACTGGAGCAGAAAAGCAGAGCAAGGAATTTCGATGGTGAGGATATATTTTGGCACTGGATAAGCTTCTGAAGCTTGGATTGTGATGGACTCTACAAGAGGGAGAGGCTTCCTCTCTTGTCCACATCTCTGGCAGGTTGGTGTGACTCTGTGTTTGTGGGTAGCCATGAATCTCAGAGCCACAGAATAGCTCAAGCTGGAAGGGACCCATAAGGATCACTGAGTCCAGCTCTCTGCTTCTCACAGCACTACTGCAAACTAAACCATAGGACCAAGACAAGGCTGAGGTATGGGAAAAGCAGAGTCAGGGCTGAGCCTTCAGCCCCACTGATGAAGCTGAGATCATCCCACAGTGTCCTACTGGGAAAGGTCACCCTGACATGATCCTGCTGATCCCACTTGACACATATGCACTAATCCTAGGTATTTACATTTGCTGGACTTACACAAGTCTTTGCCTGTTCCTTCCTCTCTTTCCTAAACATTAATACTTCTGAGAG